GGGCTACCTGCCCATCCCCAGTCCATTTCTGCCGAGTCCTGTCTGGCCTTCTGATCTGAGGGGTGGTGGGTGTGTCTCTAATAGAGTGACATGTGTTTCCCACTTCTTCCCAGCTCTCCCCTCCCCCCCGCCTCTGAGTCTGCCTTCCTGGGACTGGCTGCTGTTCCTGCAGGCTCCCCGGCAGCCTCGTTTGTTTCTCCCTCCTTATGCATCACTTGTTATCCATTGTCTTATTTATTTACATGCTTTTATTGTGAAAAATAATGTTCATACAGAAAAGTGCATTTAAAAATGTTTAGTTGAACAAGTAATTAAAAAGCGCATGCCTGTGCCATCACACCCAGCTTCAGAAACACAGCATCAGTGTCAGGTCCCCAGAGTCCCAGTTTGTAGCCACGCGGTACTTGTTTACCATGTGGACAGGTGACGGTCTTTTCACAGTGGCTCCTGGAGGGCTCTGTGCCCTTCCAGTGATTGGCCGCTGCTCTGATCCGTCTCTCGAGAGGACTTTTAAGCCCCTTGGGAAAATCAGTTGAGTAAGGTTTTAGTCTCTTGTTTTTATGTGCAGTGATTTTTCCCAATTTGGTCACCCACTTAACCTGGTGGCAGAATGGGACTTGGCTCTTTTTATTTTGTAGAAAAACAAAATTTATTGCTTACAGGTTCTGAGGTTGGAAGTCCAAAGTTCAGGGAACACATCTGGTGAAGGCCTTGGTGGTGGTGACAGTGACCCAGAAGTCTCATATGGCAGATGGCAGAGCAGAGAGAGACTCTCACATGCTCTCGTTTGAAAGCCCTCAAAACCACACCCCTGACCACCATTACTAATCCGTTCACTGTGGCAAGGTCCTACAACCTAATCACCGCTTCAAGGCTCCACCTTTCATTACTGTAATAAGACTTCCCACCTTCTTTACACTGTCACAGAGGGGACTAAGTTTTAGGGGGATATTCAAGCCAAGGCGTTCTGCCCCAGGCCCCCTAAACTCATGTCCTTTTCACATACAAATATATTCATTTTGTCCCCAAAGTCTTAACATGTTCCAACTCAAAAGTCCAACGTTCAGAGTCCCATCTGTGAAATCAAAACAAGTTATTTACTTCCATGATACAATGGTGGGACACACATAGGGTACATATTTCTGTTTGAAAAGGGAGAAATAGGCCAAAAGAAAGGGATAACAGGTCCTAAGCAAGTCCAAAACCCAGCAGGGCAGGCACTGAATCTTAAAGCTGGTGAATCATGTACCGTGACACCATGTTTCATGTCTTCTGCATGCTGGTGTGGGGGTTGGGTCCCCAAGTCCTCAGACAGCTCTGCTCCTGTGACTTTCCTGGTCTCAGGTGATGCTTCAGCTCTTGCAGGCTGGTGTTGCTGGCTGGTAGCAACACAGGTCTGGGTCTCCATGGCAGTCCCAGTTCCATGGCTCCACTGGTGACTTTCCTGGTCTCAGGTGATGCTTCAGCTCTTGCAGGCTGGTGTTGCTGGCTGGTAGCGACACAGGTCTGGGTCTCCATGGCAGTCCCAGTTCCATGGCTCCACTGGGCATGGTGCTGATGGGGTTTACCTGCTTCAACTCTGACCCCATGTTTCCTCTTGGCGTTGCTGTAGTGAAGATTGTATGTGGTGAATCCACCTCTGTGACAGATCTCTTCCTGGGCCCCCAGACTTTTCCATACATCCTTTGAAAACGGGGTGGAGGCTCCCAAGCCTCCACAGCTCTAGCATTCTGCAAGCCTGCAGACCTAACATCACATGGATGCCACCAGGGCTTCCAGCTTGTATTTTTCAAAGATTTGGGTCCAGCCACACCTGGGGCCAATTTAGCCACAGCTGGAGCAGCCAGAGCAGCTGGGGTGCCAGTGCAGGGACCAGCATTCTGAGGTGGCCCTGGGCAGCGAGCCCATGCAGGGTGCCTCGGGCCTATTCCCCAAGCCCATGCTCTCTCCCTAGGCCTCTGGGCCTGCAATGGAAGAGGCAGCCTCAAAGATCTCCAAAACGCCTTCACAGTCTTGTTTCCCTTCTCTTGGTAAAAGTGTGACAGGGCTGCACCATTGCAGGCTTTTAGCTTCTCTCCCACATGGCCAGGCTGATAGTTTCCCGATTTTTTGCCCTCTGCTTTCTTTTGAATGAACGTCTTTTAAGTAAATTCCTGCTTCATGTTATGCCTTTGCACAGTGCAGGCTGTTACAAGCAGCTGCGTGACTTCCTGAATGCTTGATGCTTAGAAGTTTCTTCTGCCAAATACCCTGATTCGGCACCTTGAAGTTCCATGTTCTATAACTTTGGAGCATGAACAGAATGTGGCCAAGTTCCTGGGCAGTTTATAGCAAGGGTGATCTTTGCCCCAGTTTCTGGAAATCTCCTTATTTCTATTTGAGATCTTCTCAGAATGGCCTTTATTGTCCATATTTCTATCAGCATCTGCTCACCACCATTTGACCAGCACCTATGCTTTTTCTAGCCTTTTCTTCCAAATTCCTCCAGACTCTCCTCAACACCCAGTTCCAAAGCCACTTCCACATTTCCAAGTGTTTAAGTAACACCCCAACTCTCTAGTACCAGTTTTCTACATTAGTCCACTTCTGTTGCTTTTAACAAAATTACCTGGAATGGGTAATTTATAAAGAAAAGGAAATTTATTGCTTACAGTTTCAGAGGCTGGGAAGTCCAAAGTCCAGGGAACACATCTGGGGAGGGTCTTGGTGGTGACAGCAACCCAGGGTCTCACAGGGCAGTTTGGTAGAGCAGAGAGAGAGAGAGAGTTGTCTCTTGGTGAGGGTGGATCCTCCCCTCTGTGCACTCAGGTGTGAGCAACCTGTGGCTTCTTGCTGTCCGAGGGCCACTTGCCACGTGCCACTTCAATGACGTGTTGAATCGAGGCCTTTTGTAGTTTGTTAGAGATTATTATAAAAGGGATCAAAGTGCGTAAATTCTCATATATTTAAAAAGGAAACAAATAGGAAACAAATTCAGTAAATCTAGGCTAATTTTTACTTTATTTTCTGTATTTACTGTCCATCAATTTCATCCGGAAGAATCTCACTTCATGGCGTGATGCCTAGTTTGGGAACCTTGGTTTCCTGTAGGAAATGACACCAGGGAGGCTTACACGCCGGCCTCTGCGCCTGTTCTCCTTCTGGGCTTTCCTCTTATTTTAATGTGCACTGCGGAGGTCTTAATGATTGTTTCCACGTAAAAGCGATAGGATTCTGGTAGATAAGTTGCTAACATTTAAGGTGTAGGGGTCTTTAGTTCTGGCACGTGGCTTATTCTGTGGATGTTCCGAGTCCCATGTCATTTGAATGCTGGTGTGCACTGTAGCAGAGACCAGGACACGGAGCCCTTCCACATCCCTGAGCAAACCTGAGTGGAGAAGCCTCCAGCTGAGCGTGGGACGCAAGGGAGAGAAGTGCAGCGTCCCTCCTGCCTGCGGCCGGGCGTTGCAGCAGCGGCTCCTGCGGGCACAGACCGGCCACGGCCACGCCCTGGACGCCCTCAGCAAAGGCTGCAGCCTGGGCTTCCTGTGTTGTGTGTGGTTGCATGTGCGTCCCGCAGCCCCTGCACCATGTGACCCAGCCCCTCTTTTGCAGGGTGGTGGACTTCCTGCTCAAGGCCATCATGCGCACCATGTGGTTTGTGGGTGGCTTCCACCGCGTGGCCGTGAAGGGGCGGCAGGCGCTGCCCACAGAGGCGGCCATCCTCACGCTGGCACCACATTCCTCCTACTTCGACGCCATCCCTGTCACCATGACAATGTCCTCCATCGTGATGAAGGCAGAGAGCAGAGACATCCCAATATGGGGAAGTGAGTGAGCCCCTCGCCCCGCTGGGAGTGAGCTCCCTGCTGGGAGTGGGTGAGCCCCCTGCTGGGAGTGGGTGAGCCCCCTGCTGGGAGTGGGTGAGCCCCCTGCTGGGAGTGGGTGAGCCCCCTGCTGGGAGTGGGTGAGCCCCCTGCTGGGAGTGGGTGAGCCCCCTGCTGGGAGTGGGTGAGCCCCCTGCTGGGAGTGGGTGAGCCCCCTGCTGGGAGTGGGTGAGCCCCCTGCTGGGAGTGGGTGAGCCCCCTGCTGGGAGTGGGTGAGCCCCCTGCTGGGAGTGGGTGAGCCCCCTGCTGGGAGTGGGTGAGCCCCCTGCTGGGAGTGGGTGAGCCCCCTGCTGGGAGTGGGTGAGCCCCCCGCTGGGAGTGGGTGAGCCACCCACCGTGTGGCAGAGCCTGTCCACGCAGGTCACATGAGAACACGGGGCCGGTCCACACAGGCCGCACCCACACAACACAGGCACCTAGCCTTGCGCCCCACTTCTTTTCCTTGTGGTTTTCCTCTGTAGCAGTGACCCCCTGCCGGGAGTGGGTGAGCCCCCCTGCTGGGAGTGGGTGAGCCCCCCTGCTGGGAGCGAGTGAGCACCCACCATAAGAATGGGTGAGCCCCCCTGCTGGAAGTGGGTGAGCCCCCTGCTGGGAGTGGGTGAGCCCCCCTGCTGGGAGTGGGTGAGTCCCCTGCTGGGAGTGGGTGAGCCCCCCGCTGGGAGTGGGTGAGCCACCCACCGTGTGGCAGAGCCTGTCCACGCAGGTCACATGAGAACACGGGGCCGGTCCACACAGGCCGCACCCACACAACACAGGCACCTAGCCTTGCGCCCCACTTCTTTTCCTTGTGGTTTTCCTCTGTAGCAGTGACTGTTGTGATTTTCATTAGCACCCGGGTGCCCTCAGATACCATCACAAGTTCAAGTGCTTATTCTAGTTCCGTTTAGCAAGGATGGCTAACCTTTATCAGACAGACGTCCTAGACGTCTTTGGGAGCAGCTCAGGAGGGTGTCCCAATGCACTAGTGACTGCACTGTGAATCCAGGTGTGTGAGCGTCCTGCCGTAACACATCACCAAAGCTGCTGGCTTAATAAGGCAGAAATCCATCCCCTCTCATTCTGGAGAGCAGAAATCTGAAATCAAGGTGTGGCAGGGCCACACTCCCTCCAGAGGCTCCAGGGGAGGACCCTTCTTGCCTCTCCCTGCTCCTGGTGGCCTCAGGTACTCGGGGCTTGTGGCCGTGTGGCTCCAGCCTCCGCGGGCACACAGCCTCACAGCCTCTTCCCTCTGTGTCTCTCTTCCATGTGTCTTATAAGGACACTGGTCACCGGAGAATCCAGGATGATCTTGGCTTAAGATTCTGAACCAGTTACATCCGCAAAGACCTTTTGTCTAAATAAGGCCACGTTAACAAGTTCTGGGGATTGGGACATGGGCACACTTTGGGAGCCACTGTTGAGCCCACAGCACCATTGCTCAGTGCGAGCTGCCGGGAGCCCTGGACCAGCTAGTTGCGCTGTCCCCTGACATGGCAGATGAAGACACCTGTCCCCCCCGCCCCAGCAAGTGTCTGTCCTCGCGGTGCCTTCACAGGATCTGCTGGCCCTGCCTGGCCCCACATCCCCGACGGTGCCTCCATCGCCGTCTCTGCTGCCTTTGAGCACCGTGGTCAGGACAGGTGCTGGGCAGGGCTGGCAGTGAGTGCTGCGTGGGCAGAGGGGCCTCACCCTGAGCCACCTGCTCCAGCTGCCTCCCCTGCGTTTCTGTGTCACCTAACACCATTCACGTTCATGTGACACTTACATAGAGAAGACTGTGTATGTTTTATTTTGTCTTTCTAATAAAAGGAGTGTTGGGGGGTCTGATTTACAAAACAGATGCTGAACAATGTCCATTCGCTTGAGCGTGGACTGGGTGTTTCTGGTCTAGCGAGGAGCAGTTTTTCTTGCTGTGGGATGAAGTCGAGTAGCTCACGCGTCTGGTGTCGAGGGCGCGTCTCCTGGCGCGGCCCCCGCCCCTCGGCCAGCTCCTCCTTCCCTCCCTGCGTGGAAGGCTCGAGCAGCGCTCACCTGATTCTTCTTTCCTGTCCCGCTCGAACCACCTAGAGCCTAAGAGGAAGCATGAGTTTTTTTAACAAACGTCTTGCCACCAAGAGCCCCACGTCGCCTTCCGGCTGTTGCAGTCCGTTCGAGCTGCTGTAAGAGAATGTCGTACCCTGGCTGGCTTGTAGACAACGGAAATTTATTTCTCTCAGTTCTGGAAGCCAGAGTCCAAGGTCAAGGCGTGGCAGACCGGGTGTCTGGTGAGGACCCGCTTCCTGGTTCACAGAGGGCGCCTTCTCCCTGCGTCCTCACATGGTGGCAGGGGAGCGCGAGCTCTTGGGGCCTCTTTTAGGAGGACACTGATCCCACTTATGAGGCTCCACCCTCCTGACCTCATCACCTACCAGAGGCCTCACCTCCTAACACCATCACCTGGGGGGTTGGAACTTCAACGAGGGACTTTGGGCAGGACACATCCAGTCCATCGCACTGTCCACTGAGGGTTGCAGCCATGGTGGGATAGGAAAACTGGACATGAGACAAGGAAGCCCCCAGCCTGGCACACTGGGCACCAAACCCTCGGGAGCCAGCGGACATGTCGACCGTGGCCAGTGCTGGTGGAGGCAGGAGGCTGGTGCCAGGCAGCGACTCGTGTGGTCTGTCTGCACGTGGTAGGACTGGAGGTCTGTGTGGCCCCCGTTAGGGCTGCAGGTTCGAGGTCTGGACTCATAGCTCTGACCACTCTCCTGCCCCCAACCAGCCAGGGAAGCTTGAAGGAGCCTGGGCAAGCCCACCACAGACACGCTGCCGTCCCAGCTGCTCTCCTCCCCCCGGGAAGGCCATGTTGGTGCCACCTCAGGGAAGCACCTGCAGCTCACCAGGCCCCACCAAAGAGACTGCAGAGACTCGAGGACACGGTCGGTCAGCAGCAAGGGCAGGCACAACACAGGGTTTGAAACTGGTCATCCAGGCCGGCTCCTGCACTCCTGCTGCCTGTTGCACTGACTGAGCTGCCATGGCTTGTCTGTCTCCTGCGGGATAAACCAGACGCTGATGCCGACACACTTCCTGATCACGAGGAACATTTGTAACAGCCAAGTAGGGGACATTCCCCTGCTGTGGGTACCAGGATGGCTCAAGACCTCCTGTTTGTTACTTAACCCACTCCCTTCTCTGGAGGCAGGTGCCCTTCTCTCTGTGCATCTGGGCGGTTGAGGAGCCAGCCACACCGACCCATGGCCGCAGCACAGGCAGGTGGCCAAGGATGGGTTCGAACCCAAGCAGGCAGCAGCAGAGTCCCCACCCCTGTCCACAGCATGCACAGCCACTCTGGTAGCATTCCAGATGCCTCCGCATCTCCGCCGAGGTCTACTGCAAACCCAGCTTCTGTAGCACAGGTCCCCTCTGCACCTGCTCCCGCCCGAAGCGTGCCAGCCTCCAGGTCTTTCTCGAGGGAGGCGCATGTCCTGCTCACACAGTGGATTTGGGGAAGTGGTGTGGTTGAAGTGTCACAACAAGGTGTTTGGAGGTTGGATGGGTCAAGGGTGAGTTCTGTTGGTTCAAGACGCTGGGCACATAGAGCTGGCTTCCTCGGCTGGGAAGTCGTCTCTGATGCTGTGGATGAGCACTTTGAGGCTCGTCCTGAGCATGAAATAAGAGTCTCCAGCTCACCGTTCCAGGCAGCCGGGGTCCAGCTGAGAGGCCAGCGTGGAGGTGGACAGTGCAGACCACGTGTAGTCTTGACCCTGTGAGTGATGTCACAGATCCTCTGTGGGGACATAAACTGGCTGTTCTGGGGCCATGGGTTACGAAAGTGAGAAGGCACACCACCTGAGACCCAGGCCCCGAGCAGGCAGAGGCAGCCCCCTTCCTGACGGAGCTTCCTGGAGGGGGTTTGAGATCTAGACCGTGTGGCCAGGAACTGAGAGCCTACTCTTCCAAAGAAAGGATTATATACCACGCGCCTGGAAAGTCAAGGCGAATTCCAGGAATTTTCTGAAAACCAGGCAGAGGCATGATAACAAGGAAATTTGTGTTCACGTTAGTGATCTGAAGCGTCAGCACAAACCCTGGGACATGGGGGGGCGTGGTCCCTGGTCAGAGGGGACTTGGGGTTTTGCAGAGATCGTGTCTGTTCTGTGTCCTTCCTTTGTGGTTTTAAGGCTTCAGGCTGTGAGTGTCAGCATTTCTGGGACCTTCTGGGGCGGGAAGCTGTGGTCACCATCATTCACACACACCTTGGCTTTGACCACCAGGTAGAATCCTCGCAGATCTTGCGTACCCGTCCACGCCCCAAGGCCAGGGTGTGGGACGCCAGCCCTGCTGGGCTCTGGGTCAGAGCTGGGCGCCAACGGCCCCACCGCCATGAGGAGGGATAGTCACCGCTGTGTGTGCTGTGTGCAAGGCGCTCTGTCAAGCCTTTGTGTTTCTGGTCATAGTGTGGACAATTTGCAGACCTGAGTGAAGGGACGGTGACAAGCAATCTACTAGAAATTCAAGCTAGGCTTCAAATGCGGCACACCCCACCTCCTGTTCCCCGCCTCCCCGGTTTTCAGCATGCCTGGCAGGGGCGCTGTCCTCCGAGCGCTGCTGACGTCCCCTCCCCGCCACCGTGAGCCTGGGATGTGTGCTGATACCGGAGCGCAGCGCCGTCTCCCACGGCTTCCAGCGTGTCGTAGCTTCCAGCCCCTCTTTGGAGACGTTGACAGTTCACAACTTCTCTGAAGAGATGAGTGTTGAATATATTCAAAATATTTTCATTTTAAATTTATGAATACTGACTAGAGTGCTCAACCCTGTGAATTTTTTAATTTTTACATTACCGTTTTCTTGCAGTCGCCTTTATTCTATACATGCCCGTCTACTTATGAAAAGTGAGTCTGGTGCTCACACAGCAGAAAGGTGAAGGAATGCCGTCACTGTCCCGCTGCGGGACGGCCGTCCAGCTCCTGCCACACACGGCATGCCGAGGCCCTTCCCTCCACGGGACCCACGGGGGCCGGGGCTCCTTCTGCCCTGGGAAGCAGCTGCCCAGGTGTCAGGTCCTGGACTGGGAACACTCATCGGGTGGCCCATCTGAGACGTGCAGCCTGGGGTTTCGCTCAGAGGGTCGGTGTTGCCACCGGGGCCCCCGACAGCTGCTTCCTGTCTCCTGCGTTCATCCTGGGACCCCCTGAGAACTGTGGCGTGTGCCCGTCTACTTATGAAAAGTGAGTCTGGTGCTCACACAGCAGAAAGGTGAAGGAATGCCGTCACTGTCCCGCTGCGGGACGGCCGTCCAGCTCCTGCCACACACGGCATGCCGAGGCCCTTCCCGCCGCAGGACCCACAGGGGCCGGGGCTCCTTCTGCCCTGGGAAGCAGCTGCCCAGGTGTCAGGTCCTGGACTGGGAACACTCATCGGGTGGCCCATCTGAGACGTGCAGCCTGGGGTTTCGCTCAGAGGGTCGGTGTTGCCACCGGGGCCCCCGACAGCTGCTTCCTGTCTCCTGCGTTCATCCTGGGACCCCCTGAGAACTGTGGCGTGCCTTCCACGTCGATTTTCTCTTCTTTGCCGTTATGGACAGAAAAGGGAAACTTCGGAAACCTCGCCTCTTCAGAGACACAGACCGGCGATGAGACTACGGAGGTGAAGCTCCAGGCCCCTGTGCGCTGCCCCGGAAGACAGGCCGGCTCCGGGCAGACCAGTGAGGAACGCGACAGGCTGAGCGGTCGCGCCGTCGGTCCCCCCACGTCCCTGCTTCCCTCTCCTCCTGCCAGGCGTTTCTAGCGGCGTCAGGATAATCAGAGAGTAAGGGCAAGATCGTTGCTAGAAGGTGGAGCAGCAAAGTGACTGAAAGCCCAGGAAAAATGAGATCGCCAAGACCCACGTGTATCTTCAGGTTCACAAAAGGGTCTCGTGGACCCCACGGGTCATTGTGAGACAGAAGGAATGTTCTTCTTTTTAAAATGGGTTTTCTCTTTGCTCTTCGGAGGACCTCTAAGGAAGAGCGAGTCATGAAAGATTCTTCACAAGCAGTCAAAGCACCGAGACACGACACCTGAAGCTAGGCCTGGGCCCCTGGAGGACCGGCCCGCGCTGCCCAGCGAGCGCACGGGTGGAGCAGGCGGTGACACGCCCTCGCCGGGCCTGAGGTGGCCGCGCCGGGCACGCTTCACCTCCAGAAAGCCGGCTCTGCCGAGGACGGTTCCATGTGGACATCTGCTCGGCGTGTTCCAAGTGTCTCTCCACTTTTCAGTCCTCTTGTAAGAAGAGGCCTGTGCTCTGGCTGTCGCCGTCATTTTGGTTGTGGAGCTCGGTCCTTCACAGCGGGTGTGTCTTGTTCCCCTGGCCCCCCACACCTGACGGGGGTGCCACATGGTGCAGTGGTTGGAATCGGGGCTGAGCATCCTGGGGGCTCTGCAGAGGCACCATCCTGTGACTCCTCCGACGGCTGGTGGTGGCCATAGTCCTGGCGTTCCTTGGCTGTGGCACATGGCTCCAGGCTCTGCCTCTGCTGTCACATGGCCTTCTCTCCCCCATCTCTCCATCCCCTCGCCTCTTCTCATGAGGACACCAGCCACTGGATCAGGGTCCACCCTACCCCAGGATGACCTCCTCTGAACTCGGTCATCTGCAGACACCCTATTTCCGAATGAGGTCATGTTCATGGGTACCAGGAGTTAGGACTTCAGCTTATCTGTTAGGAAACAAAGTTCAACCCACAACAGGGGGCTGGAGGGGTCTGAGCCATGTGACCTGGGGCCATGGACCCCCCCTTCCCCCTCCTCCATTAATACGGGTAACCAAAAGTGGGCCACTTCCTGGCGGGCCAGGCGTGCGTTCTGTGCGCTTCGTCTGATTTATGGTCACGTGAACTCTCGTTTGTCACTTCTGGCCTTGCAGGTTTTGGTGCTTCCTGCTGTCATGAGAGTTCATGGGAAGGTTGGTGATTTTCCGATTCCCTCGCTATAGGCCTTGACTCAGAGCCCGTCCTGCAGCACAGCCCACGGCGTGTCTCTGGGGGTCCCACACCTCACTGGGAGCCATGGGGCAGCCCCCCACTGCGACCCCAGTCCTGCCACAGACTCCCCACATTCCAACACGATCTGCCCCGACCCCTGTCTTTCAGCTCTGATAAGGTACATCCGGCCGGTGTTTGTGTCCCGCTCAGACCAGGATTCCCGCAGGAAGACCGTGGAGGAGATCAGGAGACGGGCGCAGTCCAATGGAAGGTGGCCGCAGGTAGCGCCGTCCTGCCTGCGTTCTGGTGGCTTTATTCCAAAGATGTGAACTTTGAGAACAGGGAGGGAAAAAAGAAACCAAGAGGCCAGAACTCACCTCCTCTGGGTGCCGGGTTTTTTTCCATTTCGTTTTGGGTGAATGTGCAAATCCAAAAATCTGGTAAAATCAGGTGCTTTCGGTTTTGGTGTTCGGGACTTAAAATGGAAAGAGATAAGAAAAAACAATTCTGAAGTGCACCCCAAGTTCCTGAACATCTTGTTTGAAAGTGAGTTCTAACTCAGAGCATTGTAATCCGCCCTCCTGGGTGCGGTCTCATTTCTGAGTTAACGTGTTAGCCTGAGGTGTGTTGACTCACGTCAAAAAACCCTGGCTGACCTACCCCAGCCGCGCGCTGGTCCCCGGCCACATCTGGAAGGCCTGGCACCCGCTGCGGCACAAGTGCACCATGTTTGGCCCACACTTCATTTTTTTTTCTTTTCAGTTGAGCCAGCATTCAGAAGCTGGAAATGTCACAGGGTGCCCTGGGTTCTGGTTGCTTAGGAAACATTGCAGGGTCTGNGGGGGGGGGGGGTCCTTCACTGCTGATTCCATGGGGCTTTCCACTGCCTGGCACGTGGTCTCTGCCCCCACTCCTCAGGGTCCCGGCCCCTGTCTGATCCCCTCCGCAGGGGGCACGCTCCTTTGTCTGCCACTGTTGCCTGTGCTTTCTTCTTCCTGGGAGGATTATGACTTTCCACGGGGGGCTTGTTTTGTGCTAATGGTACAGCACATTTAGTTGCACCAGATCCTCCCAGCACCTGTGGGGTGGGTACCACGATTACCCCATTTTCCAAGAGCCATGCTCTAGGAAGACACATGCTGTTTGTATATTTGATTGCTTCCAGGTTTTAATAAAACCAGTAGTTAATGGAAATCAGTATATGCTTCCATAATGCATTTTAACTTTTTCAACTGAGGTGATTAAAGTATCTAAATTATGTCAGTAGTAGTGAAGATTGGCACCTGTGTTCTCTTAGTTATAATTGAGTTCCGTTTAATGCTTGCCTTTTTTCTCCCATTTCAAGATCATGATTTTTCCAGAAGGAACTTGTA